CACAAGCTAACTCCAAATGGACCATGATTTAAATGTAAAAGGTGAAACTACAAAAATTTTAGAATAAAACGTAGGAGAAAATCTTTGGGATTTAGGGCTAGGCAAAGAGTTTGAAAACTTGACACTGAAAGCATAATCCATAAAAGGAACAATTGATAAACTGGACTTCATTAAAATTAAAAACTTTTACTCTGTTACCCTTTTATGAGGATGAAAGACAAACTACAGACTAGGAGAAAATATTTGCAAATAACATATCCAAGGAAGGATTGGTTTTAGAAGATTTTATATATATATATGTAAAGCTCAAGAGTACAAAAAGTCTAATTATAAAATGAGCAAAAGACAAACAAGCACATGAAAAGATATTCAATGTCATTATCCATTAGGGAAATGCAAATTAAAACCATACTGAGATATTACTACACACCTACCAGAAGGCTAACATAAAATAGTGCATAGTGACATCACTAAATTCTGGAGAGGATGAGGAGAAACTGGCTTTGTCATATATGATGGTGGGAATGTAAAAGGTACAGCCAGTTTGGAAAGTAGTTCAACAGTTTCTTTAAAAACTAACACTATCATACTACCCAGCAATTGAACTCCTGGGCATTTATTCCAAAGAAATGAAAACTTTTGTTCATACAAATACCTGTCCATTAATGTTTATATTAGCTTTATGTAAAATATCCAATAACTGGAAACAACCCAGATGTTCTCCAGGTGAATGGTTAAACAAACTCTGGTACATCCACACCATGTTACTAGCCAGCAATACAAAGAAACTAACTGATAACACACACAACAACCTGGATATACCTCCAGGGAATTATGCTGAATTTTAAAAAGCCAAGTACCAAAGGGTTACTTATTGTATGATTCCATTTGTATAACATGCCTGAAGTAACATTATAATAATGGAGAACAGATTAATGATTGCCAGCGTCTAATGAGGGGGCAGAACTGGGAGGGGAGTGAGTGGCTATAAAGGATCACATGAGGGATACTTGTGGTGATGGAAATCTTCTGTATCTTGACTTTCCATGTTAATCTTGTCAATATCCTAGTTATAATATTGTACTGTGATTCTGTAATATGTTATGAGAAACTAGGTAATAGGTACATAGGACCTTTCTCTCATTTTTATAACATTTTTATAACTAAGTTAATCTATACTTATTTCAAAATGAAGTTTAACTAAAAAATGAAGGCCAATGAATATTAACAACTGAAAAATAAATAATTTACTACTCTTTAACCAATTCTCAGATATTCTGTTTTCTGGAATGAAATAGATTCATGTTTTATTTGCTTATAAATAAATTGAATTATTTTAGTTTGACATGTTATTTTAAAATGAAATATAGGAACTTGAATAATAGTAATGGAAATATCACTTGCCAAACTATTGCACTGCTAATACTTTTTCTAAATATGGACTTCTGCACTTATTTTTGTAGAAGTAGAAAATTCCTTTATCAGGTATGTTTTGAATCCTAAGTAAAGATATATGATTTTACTTATGTTAATTTTAGTAAGACAACAATAGCCTCTAAATTCAATCCCAGCTCAAAAATATTTACCATTATATACAGGCAAAAAAAATCCACAGATAGTGATAATTTTAAAACCACTACATACAAGTGACAAATAAATGTATATAATGTACAAAGACTTACTTTTCTTTCCACACTTGGCACAATACTTCTTAAAATAAATCCAGTTCTCCTAGATCAAATATTTAACACAATGACTATTCTTTTGAAGCATGTGATGGTTTTCATTTACAAAATTAAAAAAAATTTTTGTTTGATTTTTACCTTTTTAGAGACAGGATCTTAGTCTGTTACCCAAGCTGGAGTGCAGTGGCATGGTCATAGCTCACTGTAACCTCAAACTCCTGGGCTCAAGCATCTTCCTGCCTCAGCCCCCTGGGTAGGTGGGACTACAGGTGCACACTACGGCACCTGGCTACTTTTTACAATTTTTTGTAGCGACATACAGATATGAAAATTATTAACAAATAGATGGTTATTTGAAGCCATAGTGTTAAGTGAGATGACCCCAAAAAAGAATTAGAGTGAGAGGAAAGGGGTGAGATCAGAACTCTGGTAAATGTGATAATTAAGGGATGTGTCTAGGCAAAGAGCAGTAAATCAAAAATGAGAAGAAATGTTCAGAGAGGTAGGAGAAAAGTTAAGATAGAGTGAGGTCCTGGAACCCAAAGGAGAAAAGGGTTTTAAGATAAAGGGAGTGGCTGCTGAAGAGATGAGAGGTAAAGTAAGGACTAAAAAGAGTCTATTGGATCTGGCAAATTGGTCATTAATAACTTTTGCTAGAGCAGTTGTGGTGGAATAGTAGGAATGAAAGAATGAATGGAGAGTATGGAAGTAGACAGAGTGAACTATGGAACAGCTAATGAGGTAGCTGGGGCAATGAATGCATACTGAGAGAAAGAAAGGTAATAAATGAGGTGATAATCCAAACAGAACTAAATATACATAGGAAGAGATGATGTGTGGAAAAGAAGAGGGGCATTTCGGATTTTGGAATAACTGAAGAGAAAACATGAGTCATGTTAAATATCTATGACCTCAAAACATTTTTCCTTCTACTAGTGTTAGCATGAATTAACTCAACAAATATTTATTGAACACCTACTCAAGCTGGACTCTTCCAGAGAAACAAAGAAGTAACACTGAATTGCTGCTGCCTAAAAAGCTTGCAATTTAATAATGGAGATATAATTTTACACAATATTCCAACTTAGGTTGGCGGAATGAAAAGGAGCTAGCCAAGAAAAAAGCATCCCAGGAAGAGGAAACAGCATGAGTAAAGGCATAAATAAATAGATTGGTTTTTCAAGATTTCAAATAAGAGGTGGTAAAAGGTGGAGAAGTGATACAGGCAGGAGGCAGACAAATGCCTAGGCAGCTGGGGCGTGTCCCCTGTGAAATCCAACCTTCAAGCTGGAAACTTGGGTAAATCCTCCAACCAGACTGAGAACACACCTTCCTGTTTGGCCTGCTTTCCTCTGATTGGTCTTCATCCTTCACCTGTTTTACATATACCTACCCTTTCCTAATTGGTTTTTTACACTATTGTGCCCACCTTAACCTTTTTTGTATACTCAGAAACCAATCAGCACACACTCTCTACCCTGAACCCATAAAAAACCCTGGGCTCAGCCATATTGGGAACCCTCCTGCCTTTGCGTAGGGGGACCACCCCTGCATCCCCTCCCTGCTAAAAGCTGTTTCATCACTCAATAAAATTTCCTGCCTTGCTCATTCTTCGCATGTCTGCATGCCTACTTCTTCCTGGCTGTGAGTCAAGAACCCAGACCTAGCTGAGCTAAGGAGCAAAAAATCCTCCACCAGCAGCTGGAGACAAGGTTTGAGAGGTGAACAGGGGTTAGATTTTGAAGGACCCTGAAGACTTTAGTGAAGACGATAGGTTTTATTCTCTGTGCAATAGGAAGCCACTGAAGGATGTTAAGAGATGAGAGGTAAAGTAAGGACTAAAAAGAATCTATTGGGCCTGTCAAATTGGTCATTAATAACTTTTGCTAGAGCAGTTGTGGTGGAATAGTAGAAATGAAAGAATGGACCTGGTTTACAATATTCAAAAGGTAATTCTGGTTGCACTGTGGAGAATATACTTTGAGGGAAGGATGAGTAAGAAATTGTGGTTTAAATTATAGCAATAACAACATAAAAGGAAAGAAATGGATGATGTTCAGTTACAGAGTTATAGTTAGAATCTACCTCTCCTTGCTACTCACTGTTGGGTCCACTAATGTGCATTCTTGAGCCAGTCCTCATGGAAACAAGAACTTTAACTATTTCTGGCTCTAAATGATGGGCTAAGGGGAAAATGATTACTCAGTCCTGATTTGTTGTACTTTCCACAACTGAGTCCTGATCTACAAGTCCCCGTGCTGATCACTGGAGGATGTGCATAGGTGCCTTGATGGGACTCACTTCTCTTTAGTGCTCTGGATCTCATGTGGAGCCTGCATTCAGGCACCAGGCCAAACTGAGCTTCTGTTTTAGTCCCTATTACAAGTGAATGAACCTTGAGAATTGTGACAGTGTCAGAGTCACAGTTATATTACTGGCTTGTCTTGTCCACTAAATATTTACTGAATGAACAAACAAATTAGCCCTGTAGGGGAGACAGGAATCCCCATTTTAGAAGAGTGAAATTGAGGCTCATACCAAATCTGGCCAAAATGACATCAGCAGTAAGCTGTACAGTCAGGATGCAAACTCAGGTCTCTGACTCCAGACTCTATTAAAATTTGTAGATATATTCTTTTTAGACAGAAGCCAAAATATGTTAACTGTGGAAGTTTCAGGGCCCATGTAAAATAAATGTGTTAAAAGGGGGCACCCTCAGTATTTCTTCATTCATAAGATACCTTGAGGGATAAATTGTGTTAATTATCATTGGTTGCTTCCAAACTTTATTTCTGTTGATCTTTAGTCCCGATAGTCATATATAGCACCTTTTTGATATTGATTTTAATCTGATTTTCTAAAAACAGTATATCATCTTAAATATGCAATTAATAATTTTAACAACTGAGATTGTGCTTTTCAGATGGTATTTACATATGCTTACTCTCTGAAAATCTAAAAGAAAAAAGACAGATTTAAAATGGAGAACCAATGTTTTATAGTTTGGTTAAATAAAAAGTCAAAAGACAAATGTAGTTTCAAAGCTTTAAAATTTTGAATGTAAGATTCAGTGTCTTCAGGGTCTAAATAACATAATTCAACCCAATTTCCACTGACATTATAACTAATATAATGGCAACAGCCGTACCCACCTGCCTCACCTGTACAAAGAAACTTAAATAGATTGTAAATCAATCAATTCCAAGCTTTGAAGAAGATAATTTCCTACAGTATATTTCACCATAATCCACAAGTTTTTAAAGTCTGAGTGTAAATGTTTAACGACTACATATAGGTTCTAAATTTTATACTCACTCTTTCATGGTATTTTTGGTTTTTTTCCCTAAGTGTCTTTATTTGAAACATAAATCGCTCCACTGCATTTTCCTTTATTTGACATCTGAGAATCAACAAAGATAAAATGTGTTAGAATCATTTATCTTAGGAAATAAGAAAAAATTTTTAAAGTATTTGAAGTGAATTATTAAAAGTATTATGAAAACACATTTAGGGATAAAAACCTCTCCTGAATGGTTCTGAATCTATTTTACTCACTAAAATATATATTGTAGAGATAACTTCAAGGTTGTTTTTTTTTTTTTTGAAAAAAATCTCTGTTCATGTTTTGTATTTGTAATTTTATACTTTCTAATTGTTTATAAATAATTTAGCCTAAAGGAAAACTAGGAGAGGGCAAACAGAAAACATGCTTTCTAGAATTCTAAAAACATTCAGACAAAAATGACAAACAAAGCTAAGAATTTATAAGGGCAAGCTCACCTGCTTGAAATACTAAGGTAAACTAGGTATGCCTATTGGTTCAAGTTCATTAGTGTGCTATCTCTTCTACAAATAATAAAAACTTCTTTTCTGGCACAAATACATTTCTTTAACACTCAACAAGTATTTGTTGAGTGGCTGTAAGGTATGAAAGAGAGATAGAATAGTGCAGAAAGACTTCCTTATAGGCTATTTGATAGCTATTTGAGGGGTTTAGTATATCTCTTTAAAAATGGGCTGGGCATGGTGGCTCACACCTGTAATCCCAGCACTCTGGGAGGCTGAGGCAGGTGGATCTGGTTTTGTTTGTCTGTTTGTTTTTGAGACAGAGTTTCACTCTGTTGCCCAGACTGGAGTGCAGTTGCATGATTTCGGCTCACTGCAGCCTCTGCCTCCTGGGCTCAAGTGATTCTCCTGCCTCAGCCTCCCGAGTAACTGGGATTATACGTGCCCGCCACCATGCCCAGCTAATTTTTCTATTTTTCGTAGAGAAATAGAGTGATCTGCCCGCTTTGGGCTCTCAAAGTGCTGGGGTTACAGGTGTGGGCCACCGTACCTGGCCAGCAGGTGGATCTCTTGAGGACAGGAGTTCCAGACCCGGCTGGCCAACATGGCAAAACCCTATCTCTACTAAAAATACAAAAATTAGCCAGGTGTGGAGGTGAATGCCTGTAGTCACAGCTACTCGGGAGGCTGAGGCATGAGAATCGTTTGAACCCGGGAGGCAGAGGTTGCAGTGAACCAAGATCATGCCACTGCACTCCAGCCTGCACGACAGAGTGAGATCCAGTCTCAAAGTAAATAAATAAAATAATTTAAAAAAATTTATAGTATATCTTATATCACTATGATCTAATAAATCTTATAACTTTAAATCTGAGACCAAAATAAGGCAACAGAAATGTGTTACCTAAACCCTTTGACTCAATTAAAACCAAAATAAAACAAAAACAGAAATATAGTACCTCTGTAGTAGAGCAAAGAGTAGTTAAAGAATGAGAAACTCTGGTTTCAAATCTTGCCCTTACCACTTCTTGTCTACATGATCTCAGGCAAGTCAATTCCCTGGGCCTAAATGTCCAAGCTGTCAAATGGGATAACAATACCTAGCTCTGCATATTATCATAAGGATTAAAATAAGAAATCATATGTGAATGTTTCTAGCATAAAGTAAATGCTTAGTAAATTTCAGTTGAATTAAACCTTATATCCTTAGCCCTTTCCCCCAAACATCAATTATATTTGTAACATTGTATACTCAGTAGAGAGAAAAACTAGGCTCTTTCTTTCCCAATAATGAGAAAATGCAACATTAAAAAAAAAATCCTTTACTGGTCAAAAACCGCTCTGTTTGGATACTATAGAACTTGAATTTTAGACCTGATTTTCCAGTTCTCTAAGGATATTTAACCTCCAGAATTAAGAGGATTGATGGAGATGAACTCTATACTTCCTTTTCAGTTACAAAATTCTGCAATTTAAATGGACCAATATTCCCTTTCAAACAGTCATACATATAATGTAGATTTAAAGAGCGGAAAGGTGCCCAGCATGGTTTTAGGCATTATATAGTTTTTTTTTTTTTTTTTTTTTTAACAGAGTCTTGCTCTGTCATCTAGGCTGGAGTACAGTGGCATGATCTCGGCTCACTGCAACCTCCCACTTCCAAGTTCAAGTGATTGTCCCACCTCAGCCTCCCCAGTAACTGGGATTACAGGCACATGCCACCACACCCAGCTAATTTTTGAATTTTTTGCAGAGATGAGGTTTCACCATGTTGGCCAGGCTGGCCTTGAACTCCTGGCCTCAAGTGATCCACCTGCCTCAGCCTCCCAAAGTGCTAGGATTACATGTGTGAGCCACTGTGCCTGGCCTACAGAGATAATTTTGAACAACCTTCATGATCCTTGCCTTCAAGGAGTACCTTTTACTGGATAATAAGGAGTAAACACATAAACATATTGAAACATATTGTTTACACATTATGATAAATACCATGGGGAAAAATAACAGGATATAAGAAGGACCATAAATGGAGGGAACTACTATAGTAGATAGGGCAGGCTCCACAAAATAATAAGAAAATAAGGCTCTATGCTGCCCAGGCCAGCCTTGAACTCCTGGGCTCAAGGAATCCTCCAGCCTCAGCCTCCCAAGTAGATGGAGTTACAGATGTGCACCACCACACTTGGCTCATCTTTGACTTCTTACCTAAAGCTTACATTTGTTCAAAGATTTTGAAGGAGTGCCTTCTCTACCTCCCATTTTTCAGGAGATTAAAAAAAGTATTATAAATGAAAATTATCGGAAAAGAACCTATGCAAATGTCCAAATTACTCATATAATTTCTGCAATTATAAATATAGTAATACTGTTTCTTTACATGGGTAGAGCAGGCAAATGAATCTCAAGATGTGGTCTTCTTTGGTTAAACTGAGTCTACAGATGGGCTCGTTAATAGACCAATTCCCTGGGTGCAGCTGAGAGCTTTCCTTGGTGATGACTGGGCATGCAATGATTGGGCTGGAGACCACGTTCAGCCCCAACCCCATTGCATGGGTCATATTTATACTAAAAAAATTATTTGCTGTTTATCTGAAACTCATATTTAATTGGGCATGCTTTATTTCTATTTGCTACATCTGGCAACCCCACACTTAAGCCCACCACCCCTCCCTCAGAGCATTTAGGAGCGAATGGCCTCGGGCTTTGTCTCTTCTCCATTTGTGGAGTGAGCAGTTCAGGATGATGTGAGTGGCAGCAGCAGGCCTCAGTGGGGAATTCTGAGATGCCCTAAATGTTTTGGCAGCTTCACTGGCCCTCTTGTGGAGCTCATGGTAGCTGTGGGTCTAATTTAGCTGAGCCTCTCTTTGAAATCCACTTCAGCCTTCTCTGGCTTCACGAAGAGGTATGTTTTATCAGGAAGCAGATGAAGCTTAACTTCAGAACTCAACACTTTATGGGGACTTCAAGCATCATTGTTCCTTAAACACTTTTTCCTTTTTAATATCTCCCCCATCTACTCTCCCACCTAGAATCTGACATGTCACACTAGGTGCTGAAGCAAGTGGGGTGATAATACACCAATATACATTAAAGCAGTTTGAAAAGGATATGGCACAATTCTAAAGCACAGTGATATTAAATTGTTAGTAAGACAATATGTCATCTTTCTCCCACTCTCTATATTGTTAAAATGTTAGTAATGTGTCAATGTTCCCTTCAATCATGCAATTTCATTGAAAATTCTGGGAAGGAAAACAAATACATTTGAATTCCAAAAAAACCTATATTTTTGTGTTTTGTTCTTTAAACCCATAACCATATTCACATGTTTTTATATATCTATCCATATTCATTGTAGAAAACTGGGAGACAACAAGTATAAAGGAGAAAATAAAAACTACCATTACTTAGAGATGATCACTTCATAGATTTAGTATTGACAGTATCAGTTCTTCATAAACAACCATAGAAGTTCATGACCTATGTTCTGGGAAAGACTTCCTATATCCATGAAATTACCTGATAAAAGGGCAGGATTGCTTTGTTGCAGATGTTTTCAGAATATTTGAACAATTTATACTCAAGAGTGGGTAAGAAAGAGCTTGTTTATTGGTGGACATTTCATCACTGAGTTAAAAAATTTGTTTCCTGTATCAACAGGCAAAAATAACATTGTATTTGTTTTCATGAGTGTGATTTTGCTTTCAGACAAGATTCAACAACATTTACTCAACAAAGAAATTCTGAGCTCATACTATAAGGCTGTGCTAGATACAAGAGGTACAGAGAGGAGTAAAGAATAGTCTTCAAGGAGCTCACAGTTTGTTGAGGGAGAGACAAACACAAATGACCCACCATATTTTTTCCTTCACTTCAAATATTCTAACTGCCTTATCCATATAAAAACACAAATCTGGGCTGGGCACAGTGGCTGACGCCTGTAATCCTAGCATTTTGGGAGGTTGAGGTGGGCTGATCACCTGAGCCCAGGAGTTTGAGACCAGCCTAGTCAACACAGGGAGACTCTGTATTTATAAAAATAAACAAACATGGCTAACACCTATAATCCCAGCACTTTGGGAGGCCGAGGCAGGAGGACCTCCTGAGATCAGGAGTTCAAGACCAGCCTGGCCAACATGGCAAAACCCCATCTCTACTAAAAATACAAAAAATTAGCCGGGTGTGGTGGCGCATGCCTGTAATCCAGCTACTGGGGAGGCTGAGGTGGGAGAATTGCTTGAACCCGGGAGGCGGGGGTTGTAGTGAGCCATGATCATGCCACTGCACTCCCGCCTGGGTGACAGAGCGAGACTCTTGTCTCAAAAACAAACAATCACTGATCCAAATAAACTTGACTTTCAAAAAATCTATATCATAATCTCCATTTTTTCACTCATGACCATATTGTCACCTATTTCTATATCTATATTCATACTTATTATAGAAAACTGGGGGCAAGACAAGTATAAAGGAGAAAATAAAAATCATCATTATTCAGAGACAATAATTTTATAGACTGAACATTGGTAGTATCAGCTCTTCACAAACCACCATAGAAGTTCATGACTTTCTTTTCTTGGGATAAATTTGAAAAAAGTTCAGTTGCTCAAAAACCATGAATTAACTAACTACTACATGCTCATTGATTTGTTAGGAGCTGAGAGAGATATAAGAGGCTGCCAGGGAAGTCCTGGACAATCCTTCCTCTGATGGTGAGAGGGAGTGTGTTGGCTATTTGTCATGTGACAACAGTTCTGTCACCGAGGAACACATGGAATGCATAAACTGTCATCAGTAGAGCATGGTACAGAAGACCGTGGCTGTTCCAGTCCATGAGATTATTTACTTAGTTTTAACAAATACGAAAGAACAAGGGTATGAGATGTCCGTTATGCACTGGATCATGATAATTTTTAAATGTATGCCTCTTTGTAAACCTTTGTTAAAGAGGGGAAAGACTGGTTTCTGGTTGACCCAAAAGAGAGAGAAACAGCTGTTAACTGGATGCCACCAGTTACACCATGGGAGCAAATTAGAGACCAGGTTGCATTCATAGAGTCTGGCTTTTTGTTCACCTCTCCTAAGATGAGATGAAGGAAGTTTTCAGTTATGTTGAGAAATGAGTATGAATAGTATGTAGTTATTAATGTTACTTCAAGCAGAAAGTAAAAGGAAACAGATGAAAGCCTCTTCTCTCTTGGTATTCTGATCCCTTCACTCACTGCATCCTAAAAAGTATATACGAATATATTGGGGTCTCCGAAGGAGATAGATTTTCCCTGAATGTTGTTAAGAACACCATACATTTTTTATGGTACATTTTAGAATAAATCCTTCCTTTAGATTTTAAAATCGAAAATCTTTCTTGGCCAGGTGAGGTGGCTCATGCCTGAAATCCCAGCACTTTGGGAGGCTGAGGCAGGTGGATTGTTTGAGGCCAGGATTTTGAGACCCAGCTCTACCCAAAATTTAAAAATTAGCTGGGCATGGTGGTATATGCCTGTCATCCCAGCTACTCAGGAATCTGAGGCAGGAGGAACACTTGAGCCCAGGAGTTTGATACTGCAATGAGCTATAATCAGGCTACTACACTCCAGCCTGGGTGAGAGACTGAGACTCTGTCTTTAAACAACAATGACAACTCTCTTAAACAAAGACCTAGTCACTAGCATCATGGGCTCTCCATTTTCAACCTTATACTCCTCTAATAAAAACTTAAGTGTTCTTCTTGATCTGACCCTTGCCTAAATCACCAGTGTCTGCTCTTGCCCTGCCTCCCTCACCCTCCCTTCTCTCAGTTCCCAGTCTGATAAGCTCTTTCCCACCCTCCTGTCTTCCATAAGTCATGCTCTCCACTGTTCTGTGTCTCCATAATGCCTGTTCCTTTTCCAGAAATCAGCTCAAAGCTTTCTCAAACAAGCTTTTCCTAACTACTCTGACTAGGTCAAGTCCTTTAGTTACGCTGTTAAACAGCAACCTACAGTTTTCTTTCATAGTACCTTTGTTATAGCCATGGGATTTTTGTTTGTTTGTTTGTTTTGAGACAGGGCCCCTCTCTGTCACCAAGGCTGGAGTGCAGTGACACAATCATGGCTCACTGTAACCTTGACCTGCCTGGGCTCAGGCGATCCTCCCATCTCCACCTCCTAAATAGCAGGGACTAATTTTTATTTTGTAGAGATGCGTTTTCATCATGTTACTCAGGCTGATCTCAAACTCCTGGGCTCATCCACCCGACTTCGCCTCTCAAAGGGCTGGGATTACAGGCATCAGCCACCACACCATCCTGTCACTTTCTTAAAAGCTCAAATTCGTGGTTTATTGTCTGTCTCCCATGCTTCATCAAGGCAGGGACCATGTAGTCCTGCTGCTACACTCCAGTACCCAGCACATGACTTGCACTTGGTAAACACTCAAGTGCTTATTGAATGAGTACATGAATGAAGTACATTTCAGCCTTATGTAAGAAAAGACTAGCACTTATCTATTAATTCTCTAAGAATTACAAATTAAAACACCTACCTCGTGCCAAAAGCTAAGGTTCACAGACCCTCAAGGAGCTATTTGTTGCAATAAAACATAAACATAGAATAAATGTTACCTATGGTTTCGTCTCCAGCTCCTAGGATTGAGACATTATAAAAATTTATTGGCCGGGCGCGGTGGCTCAAGCCTGTAATCCCAGCACTTTGGGAGGCCGAGGCGGATGGATCACGAGGTCAGGAGATCGAGACTATCCTGGTTAACATGGTGAAACCCCGTCTCTACTAAAAATACAAAAAACTAGCCGGGCGTGGTGGCGGGCGCCTGTAGTCTCAGCTACTTGGGAGGCTGAGGCGGGAGAATGGCATGAACCCGGGAGGCGGAGCTTGCAGTGAGCTGAGATCACGCCACTGCACTCCAGCCTGGGAGCACAGCGAGACTCCGTCTCAAAAAAAAAAAAAATAAAAAATAAAAAAATAAAAATTTATTATTATTAAAAAGAATTTTCTGTAAATCATTTGGATTTGATATGTAGACATTTAGGAATAATGTAAGTCAGAATATCTAAGAAATAAAGGGTCACATAAAGGGAAATTTTCTCTTCTACTCTCTCCCTCTCTTTTTTTTTTGAGATGGAGTCTCAATGGAATCTTGCTCTGTTGCCCAGGCTGGAGTGCAGTGGCATGATCTTGGCTCACTGCAACCTCTGCCTCCTGGGTTTGAGCAACTCTTCTGCCTCAGTCTCCCGAGTAGCTGCGATTACAGGCACGCACCACCATGCCTGACTAATTTTTGGATTTTTAGTGGAGACCTGGTTTCACCATGTTGGTCAGGCTGGTCTTGAACTCCCAACCTCAGGTGATCCACCCACTTTGGCCTCCCAAAGTGCCGGGATTACAGGCGTGAGCCACCACACCCGGCCTCTTCTACTCTATAAATGCAAACTAACCATTCTGTGTTGTATTTTAAGAGGTAAGGTAGCAAGCTGTTGTATGCATAGGTGAGAGTAACCAATAAACAACTCAGGGAGCCAATACTACATTAATGAAAGCTGTTTCATAGCAGCTCTCATTTCATTTCATAACATAGTCCAAGTAGTTGTAGCTACTGCTTGGACTATGTTATGTTCAAAGTTTCAAAAACCTTTAAAAATATGTGCACAGCACAAGAGTGCCATTAGGCCTCCAAATCCACCTCTATTCTTTTGGCAGCTGCTGCATGCATTGTTTGCATTTGGAGTTATATGAGCCTTAACAATGACTGCCCTTTATCTATGGCAACTTTTGGATTTCAGAATAAAAACTTACTGATAGTCTAGAAGTGCTTCACTGGTAGGCAATTTAACTTCTTTTGGTGGCCCATCATGTGTATCCTTTTTATTTGCTTTCCCTGAGTTTTCCATTGTGCTGGTTAGCTATTAAGAAATATACCTGTTTAGAAAAGAGACATAGGAAAAGTGAAAAATTCCATCTTTGCCTCCCTACTTTTGTTTACTCTAGATAAGGTACCTCTGGGACTTAATACTGGCTTTCTATCCTGATTGCTTCCATGACCCCAGATCTAACATTCACCACAATGGTGGAACATCATGAAGTGATTGGATTCTTGATTCTGGTGAATTCCATGTTTATCCCAGGTATAGCATTCCCTCCACCCAAAACTTTCTAAGATACTCCTTCTCTTAGTTTTTCATCTATATCTGTTGCCCCTATCTAGCTCTTTTAAGAGCAAAGAACTGAGCTTTTTCAATCATTTTATTTCTCCACAGTGTTTGGCAGGAGAGATTAATTAAATGTCTATTAAGTTTTCAAAGAAAATGAAAACAAAACCACAATTTTCTATGAGCACAAAGAATCTAGGATCCAAAAGACTAAAGAATTCGAATCAGGATCCAAAAAAAATTAGGTTTGGGCAGGGTTGATATAAAGAGCAAATAAAAGCACACATTGAAGTACTTTTAAAATGGTTGATATTTACAAACCCAAATAATAATGTATTAATAATAACTGCTCATCAGCTATTAATTGGTTTAATACCTAATGATAATAAATCAAAAATACATTTTAAAAGGGAAAATCAAGACCCACTGTTCACAGATGTTTACAGTAAGCAGGAGTACTTTCATAGGTTTGGTTTGGGTACTAACGTAGACTTTTCAGATTATGGTCTTCCTTAACATATTTTTATCTTTTAATTTCCACTAATCTTAAAAGAATAAGTACGTAGCCTTAAATAAATGTATCAGTAGTTAGGTATGGTGGAAAGCATATAATATAACCTTTGTAATTATTTCTTTAGATGGCTGGAAACTCTCATGAGAGTAGGAACGATGTAATTCTTGTGCACTATTGTATTTCCTCACCAAGCACAATAGACACACAATAAATGCTTGTCAAATGAACACAGGAGTGGATGCATGAATGAATCAGGCAGACATGGGCTTTAATCCTAGATCCATCACTATTATCTGTGTGGCCTTGCATAGGTTAATCTTTTTGAAGAACTTCAGTTTCATCATCTGTCAAGGGAGAAGGATAACAATTCTACTCTAAGAGCTATTGTAAGGATTAAATAAGCTAATATTTAAAGCACCTAGCATAGTGTCTGAGATATAGAAAAAGGGCATATATCTCTAGCTCTATCTCCGTATAGTGCCCCTTCCTCTTTCCCTTCAGTTGTTTCTCCAGGTCAAGCTTCTTCAGGTTCTGGGTAACTAAAGCATAGAATGTCTGCCTGCTGCAAGTACAATGATGTGTGGGAAGACTAATCCATGAGGCTTGCTATTGTCAACCTTCATTGATTTGGATCACTGAATTGGCAATCCATGTAAATCTTTGTAGACCATTCAGCTCCAAAGTGGAAAAACTTGTTAAAATGAAAACACGCTTTTTCTCTGTAGACATGCTGCCTGCACACTCAGACTTCCAGTAAGGCTGTCTTTATGTCTGCGACTTTTCAAACCAAGTTTGCACTACTGTGTATGCTAATTAATTTGAGCATATACATGAATGCAAAATACCACAATACTTTCCAACTGAAAAGCACACAGATGACACAACAAAAAGATTTAATACATTGGTACATTAGTGTCCTCTAAAATATGAAAGTGTTGATAATAATTTAATAGGCTCCACACCAAAAGGTGTCATCATGATATCACCACAATTCACAGAAATTATCAGTTAAGAAAAGATTATTCTTTTGTTTCAGATGCAGAGTTGAATTTTTATATTATTTTCCATTTTAGAATTAGAATTTTAAACTTTATGGTTGCACAAAAAGCATAGTGACAAATGTTTCATTTTAAAACAATAACTTACTATTTAGTAATAATTTTTACCATAAAATATTTTATTTAAAAGTTAAAACAAATGTCAACATTTATCTCTTTCTAAGTCACATGGAAGAGATCAAGTGTTACAGTTTTTACCCGCGGTACCCATTTGGTGCTGGAGGAAAAATGACCTCATCCTGCTCAATTACCTCAGTTACCTGGCTTCTATGTTTTTAACTTTCTGACTAATGTATAATTACTTACCTAACTGCAGCTTATGGCAAAGGATTTTAATAAGATATGAGTGAAAATGTGGACCCATTAAAGCACAAATGCTTCATGCATAAACTCTATTAAGATTCACTGTTTCACACACTTCAAGAAAATTGGTAAGCCAATTGGACTGCCTGCTTAATAGCTGCATTTTTGCAATGGGCTAATGATAGTACCTCAACACCTATTTTTGCATTTGATAATGTGCTATAAGCCATGGGGACTTTCATAAACATTTACAAGGATTCACAGTTCCTGACCACCCAGAAGATTTCTCTCAGTAAAGGGTGAGAATCCTAGAAAAATATTCACAAAGTAAATGCAGTTATCTTCCAGGAAGGTTACACTTAGAATATCTGACAAATAGACGTCGAATCTGTCAGTAACTACAAACATCTATTCAATGCCTGCTCTGCATGGTGCTTTACCTGGCCCCCAGTTACAAAGTATAGATGAGGCAAGATGCTACTCAGAGAGATAGGAAGAAAGAAGCGCACTGCAGCAGAACTTTAAAAAAAATGCCCTACAAGAGCTGTGGGTACCTTGTGTGGATGAGGTTGGTGGGGGCCCCAGCGACATCCAGAATCATGTTGAGGAGCCTGTCTTTGAAGTATAACGTCTGCTTGGTGCACCACAGGTACTCCTCCTCCTTTATTTCGCCCTTCCAGGCGAACAACTGGAATGCCAACCTTGGCAATGGCAGCTGCCACATGGTCCTGGGTGATGTTGCAGCTGGACCACTGCAGCTTGGCGCCCAGGGTAATGAGGGTCTCAATGAGGATGGCCATATCCATGGGTCACATGGAGGCAGCTGGCAATGTGGGTGCCCTTCAGGGGCTTGGAGTGTTGAGTACAGCTCCCACAAGCACATCAGGCCCAGCACCTGGTTCTCCACGATATCCAGGGTTTTGCATCCCCAGGAGGCCAGGCCAATGTTGGCGACTTTGTAGGGCAGTTTGTCAGACACGCTGGTGGTGCTTGTGATAGACACGGCTGAAGGGGCCCAGGCCTTGATCTGGGGACAGGCACTGGGGATATGACACCGGACAGGGGGTTCCTAGGTATTTTATTCATTTTGTGGCTACTACAAATGAGATTGCACAGAACACATTTTTAACTCCATTAGAATTGGTCTCCAGTAAATGTTTTTAAAAATCCTGAATTAATTTAAAGCCATTCAGTGGTAATAGTACTGCCTAAGCATTACTTTTAAAAATTGAGACATCTTTTTGTATTGATTATGTATATATGATAGGGCCCAAAATCATTAGTGTTAAAATGTAAAATTTGTCTTGTTTGGAAATATGTTAAAATCATATATTAAAATCAAGGTATTTAAAAATATCTAGATGAGTGACATTTTCAAGTTTCACTTGGATGATTGATGAGGTACATTACATTAGCATGTATTTTCTTCACCAATGCAAATCCTTTCGTCATGGCACATTTTTCTACTGCAGTACCCAAATTATATTGGAGTCTTAGCTTTAAAATTAGTCTGTCTTCTGATCCAGAATTGCTAATATCAAATAGTTTGAAATGCAGTATATTACACTAACTTCTCTAGTAACCAGAACTACATTTTTTCCAATTCTTACTGTCCTTCAGTTTTAGAATTATCAACAAAGAAAAGAAAAATAACTGTGAGAATATTATTATTAGGATAAGGGAAAAATATGCAATAATGATGGTATCTCAAAAAGGGTTTCTTTCTACCTTCAAATAGCAGTAGTGAGTCTAAAGAGGATCTTCTGGAGGTGGCTGTAAGGCAATCCATGAGCCATTATCACATAGACTGATAAATATCCAGTCATTATTTTTCTCCTCTGTCATTACAGGAATCTTTCTTTTCCTTTTTATTTTGGGGGGGGGGGCGCTTAGATAGGGCACCCTTTCCCATCTCTTAATCACTTCCTCAACTCTCTCTTGCCCAGCAGAAAATTATGGGATAAGGGAGTGAGGAAACAAACATGGTACTGTACAAATGTGACAAATTCATAAAAGAAGCCAAGTTCTCTTTAGAAGAATGTTGTGGTATCCAGAGCAAGAAGTTGAAACCAATCTATGAATTGGGATATGAGGGTAAAGGACATCAGTAATACACTTAGCACATATGAAGTACCTACAGGGGAAGACCATTGCACTGATATTGAGAAGGATGCAAGAATATGTGAGGTTCTCACTTAGAAAGCATTCACTAGACTCAGAATTTGGTGAGAGGGGCACTAAGAGAACAAGACCGAGCTTGGTCCTCGCTCCTGCACGGAGTTGTATAACCTCGGCCAAGTCTCTGAACTTCTGACCTGTTTCCTCCTCCATCTGTCCTGGCTGCTGTCCGGGCTATTATGAGGCTCCAGACACTTTGGGAAAACTGTCAAGTGATAAAGCCTGCAAGAAGGGAAGGCATTCTTAGTCTGCTCTGCGTCTGCTGTGTGCTAGCGCCTGTGTGGGGGCACCGTGAAGGTTACAAACCTGAATCAAATTCAGAGCCTGCCTTTCGAGAGGGCAAATAATGTATCCAGGGATTCTACCGCAGTGGAGAGATGGGTTGACATTCTTACCAGATTAAAAAGGCCTGCCCTCCTACTCATCTCCTGGGTGGAGAAGAGGGGTAGGCCTATCAGAGCCCTTCCCAGCAGCTCCTAACGGCCCAAGAACGGCGCTTCGCCACAACACCAGGAGGGCGCGACCCCCAGGCTGATCTCGAAGCGGCGCAAGCCCAGGCCCGGGGACAGGGGCGCCCGTGGACAGGGGGGCCCGGGGGGGGGGGGGGGGTCCGTGGAGGGTGGGCCGGGGATGCTTATAAAGTCTTCAGTGTCACACTGGAAGGAGTCGGGGACCAAGAAAAGAGGCCAGCCAGTCTCCTCACATCCCCTCCACAGCCTCCAGCGGTGGATACCCCGCCGTGGGCCGATAGTTCGCACTTCCCTTTAGCCCGCGGACCAGGCCCACCCACTCCACCGCAGCCGGTGCCGCGCCCTGCGTTTCCAAGGCAACCGACGTCCTCCTCCCCACTCCCTCCCCACCCGCCCTAGCTTAGCCGCGAACGGCGGGCCAAGCGCGCCATCTGGTGGCGGCGCAGGGAAGAGTCCCGGCCGAAGGCCCGCACCGCCGCGGTGGTAGCCGCGGTCGCTCTCTCCAGCCTTTTTCCGCTGACCCGGCTGGTCTCAAACGCTCACGAGCTGCTTGGCTCCCTTTAGTCGCAAGCCCGGAAGTTGGTGACTGTAGACACAAGACCCACGGACTTTGTGCTGTTACCATGAGCAGGTCATTTGAGTCTCAGAGTCTGAGTCTTCCGCTGTAAAATGAGACGCCTGGACTCGGTGGTGGTTTCTGCACAGTTCGGGGGACGCGGACGGGGACGGGGACGGGGACGGGGACGAGGACGAGGCCTGGTGGTCTGTGAGGCTTCTGCGCGCCTCTACCCCGCTCCGCTCCTTCCACCGTGGCGGCTTCTCTTCTTTCCACTTTTGTGCACTCATTCTTTGGTTTTAGCTCTTAATAAGAATGGCAGATCCCTGGACTAAATGCTTATAGGACAACTTCCTGCTGTACCAGTCCTTGATTCTGTTTTCCTTTTCGCTTTCCTTTTTTGTTCCTAAACCTTGAGAAAGGAATTTAAGTCCAGTATTTCCCACTCTTCGCTTTTTGCTGTTCTCTCCTCCGAGAGAGAGAAAGAAAATCCTACACGTAACCGCCTTTAAAGTTCCTCCTTCCTCTCCTGCATTATTTCTCATTATCTGCCTCAAGATAATTTTCTTTGTTTTGTATTTTGACACTGGCTCTAAGTGGACAATTTTCTTTTACATCCTAGGAGCGTCTATGTCCTGGTAGTTACATTTCAGTCAATTACTTATCCTTTTGTCCCAGGAAGACAGAAATGAGGCTCCTTTAGGCTTCCCTGCTCCCTTCGTAAGTCACCTGTTTGGCATTCTTGAATTTGTTTTTTTAAAAATGGATTATAATATTTTTTATTCATGCTGTGTTATATTAATAATGTATTAAGAACTTAAAGAAAGGGAACTGAAGCAGTTAATGAAAATATTAAGCAGCTTTTGGTTAAGGGTGGTTTTCTCATCAGTAAAATACCAAAAATTAACCATTATTAGAGATAATTTATGTGTTCCACCTCATTTAAACCTCCCTTTAGTCTATCAGTGTTGTATTTATTAAGTGCCAGGAATTTGCTATGATCTACACATCTGATATAAAGGTTCTTCTGTTAACCTGGTTTTCCCTAAAATAACATTGTCAGATGGGATTATAGGATAAAATTATTAAGAGTGCAAATTCAGGAGAAAAAGCTACCACTGGAAAATTTTTAAAGCATGGAGATTTTTTAGTCAAATATAAAAGCAATTTGTGATTCTTCAGCACTTTGAATTCATTCCTACATCATTTCCTATAAATCTTAGGCCTGCTTCTCTTATGAGATCCTGGGCCCATAGTGAAAAACTGTACTTTTACCTATCATTTGTATCCTGCACAGTTTTTCTTATGGTGTTTACCAGTTGGTGGTCAGTGTGAAGCCAGATAAAAACCATTTGCTGAGTTTCCTCATTTGACCTTGATTTTCTGTTAGCCTTGCCACGTTGAATGATATAGAAATAGACATAGGAAAGTATCTATGGTAGAAAAAGCCAAATACGCTGTCTGTTTTGGCAAAACCACAAAGAACCTGTTTGATATGAGCAATTGCTAAACAAAAACAACTGCAGGGTCTTATTATTATTAAATCTCACAATAGTTTCTAAAGACCTGAACTAGAAATGAACTTACTGCCTTTGCGAACCAGTTCAAACTTTTGGTAAATCAGACATTTTACCTACAGTAGTTACTTTTGAGAAATAGAAAAGCTGTGCTACAACTTCCTATCCAGTAACTTTGTTCCTCACAAATTTGAAACAATTAAATAGATGCTTTGCAAAAATAAATAATTATGAACTAAAATATTCTCAAGATGAAAAAAGTATATGCTACCTTTAAGAAGGAGATTGTTTTAACCCAACATCCATTGTCACGTTGCAATATTATATTACAAAACGGGATGGTGTCTCACTATTTATAAGGGTCATATTTTTTCACTTTAAGCCAGAGACGTATACCTGCAGTTCACTTTTTTTTCCTTTATCTCTCCAAACCAAGTTTAACTTAAATAACCAGAATTCCGGCAAAAAAAAAAATCACATCTCTTTTTTTTGCTTCTTACTTCCTCTGCCTAATTAATTTTTGAAATTACTTTTATGATCTCTCTGTTTTCTCAGGTATAAGAGGAACCCAGGACAGTAAGCTGGAGCCAGGGTTTCTTATCCCAGGAACCTGGGCTATATTATTTGAATTGTGCCTGAGGGTTTTAGCATGTGACATCACAAGAGCATTTAGCAACAATGAATTGCTGCATGCTTGCTGTAGTTTTAAAATATGAACACAAAAGGACAAACATATAGACCAATAGAATATAAAAAATCAAGAAATACACTTGTACGTATATGATCAGTTGCTTCAGACAAAAGTGTAAAAGTAGCTCAATAAGCAAAGCATAATCTTTTGAACAAATGCTACTGTAACTATTGGCTATCTAGTTGGGAAAAAAAAATGAAGCTTCACTCTGACCAAACACCATACAAAAAATTAACTCAAAATGAATCATAAAGGTGAAAACAATAAAACTTCTAGAATAAGACAAAAAATCTTTTTGACTTTGCATCAGCCAAGTCTTACATAGGACACAAAAAGCATGATTCAAAAAAGAAAAAAAGAACTTGAACTTCATCAAATTTAAATTTAAAACATCTGCTTTTGAGGTTTTTTTTTTCTGTTTTTCTTCTTTTGGTTTGTTTGTTTTTTGAGTTAGGGTCTTGCTCTATCACGCAGGCTGGAATGCAGCAGTATGGAAATGGCTCACTGCAGCCTCGAACTCTCAAGCTTAAGTGATCCTCCTGCCTCAGCCTACCAAGTAACTGGGACCACAGGCACGTGCCACCATGCTCAACTGATTTTTTTAGTATTTTATTTTATTTTTTGTAGAGATGGGGGTCTTGTCATGTTGCCTAGGCTGGTTTCAAACTCCCAGCCTGAGGCGATTCTCCTGCCTCGGCCTCCCAAATTGCTGGGATCATAGGCATGAGCCACCATGCCCAGCCTGTTCTTTAGTTTTAAGAAGATGAAACGGCAAGCCACGGTCTGGAAGAAAACATTTGCAATACATATACCTGCCATAAGACTGTGATCTAGAATTTATAAATAATTCCTCAAACTCAATAATAAGAAAAAAACCCAACTAATTACAAATGCTTAAAGATTTGAATAGACACTCCAAAAAGTAGATATATTCATGGCCAATTAGCACATGAAAAGATGCTCAATATCATTAGTTATCAGACAAATGCAAATTGAAACCACAGTGAGATACTACTACACACCCACTAGAATGGCTAACCCTAACAGACTGACAATACCATGTGTTGACAAGGATGTGGAGTAACTGGAACTTTCATATATTCCTGATGGAAAAACAAAATGGTGCAACCATTTTGGAAAACAGTTTAGCAGTCTCTTATAAGGTTAAACATATACTGTATGACCCAGCAACCCCACTCTTATTTATCCAAGAGAAATGAAAATGAATGTTCATAGCTGCTTTATTTATAATACTACTTAATAAGAAAAGGAATGTTGCCAGCACTTAGGAATGGAAAAAAAAAGGGGTGGGGGGAATGAGCTATTGATACATGCAGCAACCTGGATGGGTCTCAAAAGAATTGAGCTAAGTGAAGAAGCCAAGTGTGAAAACCTATATGGTGTATCATATGAAATTCTAGAAAAGCCTGGAAGCAGATCAGTGGTGGCCTTGAGCTGAGAGGCTGGGGTGTGGGATTGACTGCAAGGGGGCGGGAGAGTACTTCTGGAATAAAGGAAGTGCTCTATATCTTGATTATGGTGGTGGTTACAAGGGTGTATAGATTTGTTAAAACCCATTGAACTATGTATTTAAAATGGGTACATTTTATTGTAAAGGAATTGTACTTTAACAATGTTTCTAACAATTTAATTTTAAAAATTTAATTGTACTTTAACAATTTAATTTTAAAAATTTAATTGTACTTTAACAATTTAATTTTAAAAATTTAATTGTACTTTAACAATTTAATTTTTTAAAAATGGTTTCAGGCTGGGCACGGTGGCTCACGCTTGTAATCCCAGCACTTTTGGAGGCTGAGGCAGGTGGATCACCTGAGGTCAGGAGTTCGAGACCAGCCTGACTA